AAAAATTGCTCTACAACTTCAACTTGAAACAACAAGCAGAAGATTATTTTATCATAGAGATATTTCTTTCCCAGTTCCACTCGCGCTGCTAGTTCACGTCGAGGTTTACGTTTAGCATTTTGATCCAGGTGCCATAAGCCAAGTTTGACAGGGAGTCCATAGTTTCTTCCATAGAAATGCTTTGCAGATATGGAAGGCAGATTTGGAACCAGCGTTTCAAGTTACATTCGACAGTACTTACTTCATTTTAAAGCGCCATTACGACCAGATCTTTCCTTTATTAGTTAAATTTTTTCGCTCATTTTTCAGTTAGTCATAATTTGGAAGCGCGAGCGTTTCTTCGCTAACTACTTCAATTTCTCCTCATTGTGTTTAAGAATATTATTTCTAAACATGCTTGTGATAAGGTGAGCGCATCTCTCTAGGTGATAAGGTCGAACTTTTCCTGTGGGTTAAGAGGTCGTCGAATGAAAGAGGGAAGGAGGAAGGGAAATTACTAAGGCTGTACGGCCTTTTGCCATCCTCCGGCCCCCCTCCACTTCATTGTGGTGAAATGAAAGGAGTCTGTTTACACATCGCTATTGAGCAGCATGACTCCTTCCTCTCCCCTCTCCTCTCCTCCCACTTCTTTAGAAAACCCCTTTACGAGGTGCTAGTATGGAAGCAGATCGACTTGCGAGGGCATTAGGATGAGGCAACCTTTTCCAGTAAAATAACAAAAATTCAAACAAATAATTTCTTTTTGGATAGGTCCAGGCTTTCAACTGAAGTACGTCTCCTAGATAAAAATACTTATGACACCATTTTAAAGATCGTAATAATTAGGACACGTTCAGGATCCTCATTCTCCGCTTTTAGAATGTAGAGGTTGTTGGGAACAAAGCTTATCCTGCCTTGCAGTGGTGTGTGGGGATAATTGTACGATTCTCAGGTTGCCTTTCAACACCTTTTGTTGTTCTTAGTGTATCTGAAAACACCTGTTATAAAATGCTCACCTACCATTCACCCAAAAAAGCAGGTGGTACAAGCACTCACTCAAGCCTCTAGGCAAATGCTTTGAAAGTATGAATGTTTATCGTAATTCCTCGCAGTCATCTGTCCATGTATTCGACGAGATTTGCGAGTAGGGAGGCAATATTGCTTCATTCTTCTAGTTAAACGATTTATTACCTTTTCACTTATCTACGTGAGGAAGGGAGGAGCATGTTCTCCCTATCGCTTATATGTTCTTTAAGATTTCATAAAGTTTCATTGTGAAATGAGTAATTTATGGAACATAGCAATATTTCAGGTGGAAGTAAAGCCTGCTAAATCACGGGAGAACAAGAAAGTGTTTGTTGGCGGGCTACCATCTGATTATAATGAGGGCGAACTCCGATCGCACTTCGAACAGTTCGGAAAAGTCGAAGACATCGAATGGCCTTTTGATAAGCAGACAAAAATGCGCCGTAATTTCGCATTCATTGTCTTCGAGGAGGAAGAGGCTGCCGATAAGGCATCCGCTCAGTCGAAGCAAACATTTGGCAATCGCGAATGCGACGTTAAGAAAGCAGTTCCTCAAGGAAAGCGATTTGCTGCCATGGGAGGACGCGGCAACGGCATGAGGCCATATGGTGGCCGAGGTGGCGTCAACGGAGGGGCAGCTTGGTATGGAGCTTGGGGACAAATGGGGATGCCATATGGAGCTGGAGCTGCATGGGGAGATTGGTATGGGGCAGCCAATTCTTTCTATGGTCAACAGAATGGATCGGCTGCTTATGGAAATGCTTATGGCGCAGGTGGTGGGTATACTTTGTTTTTCGAAGCATTTGTATGTGTATGAGAGCAAATAGCTTGAAACATACTTCATCTGTTTGAAGTTGTACGAGTGAATTTCCTATCTCTATCATTTTTCGAAATATGCCTTTAGGTGCAGGATACGATTCCTACCAGCAAGGTGGTGCTCGTCAAAATGGCAACGCAAATGGACAACGTTACCAACAGGCTGCTCAGCAGCAGCAGTATTGAACTCGAACTCTGATCATCTCTCCAAAATCTTATAAAATTAGTCCTCTAAGTCCAACACGCGGTTTCAATTGTCTCATGGCAAATGACTAATCCTTTCAATCACTACTGACGAATATGAAGTCAGTTTTCTAGAAATGCCCATAGTTTCCTATCAATCAATCCTTTTAAGCGTTGCGAATGTGAGCACGAAGCGAAGCATCTATCTTATATGTAGCGTGAAAGTTAGTCATTTTCCTCAGTTTATTGTCTACGCTCCACGTTGCAAATGCTCCTTATGTACATAATTGCATATCGCACCTAGCTCCAAAAAGACTTAACTGTGTTTTGTAAGGTACCATCATCACTCTTATGGAGGCAGATTAATTCTACCAATTTCTGCCCGGAGTTCAGTGTTCGTTTAACATCTCCCTATATGCTTTTATGTCAATGAGACCACTAAATTGTTTCTATTTCTGTCCTACACTCGTACTAGTGAGTCTGCCGTTATCCTTCCATTTAATTCCTCTTTGCTCCTCTCTGGAGGACGCTAAGTACTGCCGCCGCTACCTTTCATCTCTGTGTTTTGTCTCGCTCTACGAACTCCTCTGATTTTGTTGTTGCGACTCAGCGCGCCTTCGCCGGCGATTGTTCTCTTTATCCTGTTTATAATGACTGCCCCATGACCACGTGCACGATCCGATGCCACTAAGCCGGCATCGGATCGTATGCGATCGTGGCGATTGTTATGAACTGCTGTTATCCGTTACCGTACCTGGTGGTCAGGCACATAATCTCAATGTTGTTGTCGTTTGCCGCTTGTTGATTGAGCTTGTCTCATGTGTTACTTCATAACCCGGTTGACTCCACGTCTGCATATGATGCTCGCGGACGCCGAACTTTGTTTTTGGCCGACCGTGTATCTAAGTTTAGACTGCTTTCGATTTGGTTATGGAATGCACCTGATGATGAGTAGTACAATAAACCTTCGGAGGGCTAATGTATATTGTCGCATTTCAGGACTCGTCCTTACATGCATACCCAATTACTGCGGTGACTCTGGTTTTGAAACTTAATTATGCTGTAGAGGCGGAGTCTCGAGCGCAATGGTTAATAGTTCTATAGTTTCACGGAGAATCTTTTAATGAAAAAGTGAATCACGCTTGACGCACTTCAGCACGTGGGAACAATCAAAAAGCAATATAAAAAGTAATTGTCTTTT